AACGGTCACTTCGCTATTTCAGCTATTTCAGGTGGCCGCTCGCTCGTTTGCCACCTTATAATATAAAAAAAAAACTTATACCAGTAGTAGTCTAAATAAAAATCCCACGACGTACACAATTTTATTCACGCCCGTATATCGCAACATCAAACACATCAAACTCTTTCTCTTTGATCGTATATAAATATACTTATAAAAATTTGTTATTACGATTGCGAAAAAAATATATAATTTTTTTCCTCATGTACCTATCAATTGAAATTTATATTGAACATAATCCCACGTAAATTAAATGTATGGAAGCGAGTTCAAATAAAGTTAATGCTACTTACCGTAGAAATGTTATAGATTTCCAGGGAATATTACGTAAAATCAAAAGAGCTTGCACATGTAAAAACTCATATAAATAGTATTTTATTAATACTATTTAAACTACGTAATATAAAGCAGAAATGTCTCACAAGTAAAAGAGACGCAACAGTATTTCTCTGTGACCATCATTTCTATTTCTGTACAACTAAATGGAAACATCTAATTAATATTTTTAATTAAAAATATTAATCGATAGGTACGTTTTTTATATAATAAATACAAACACTTTTAATTAGCTTTTCTCTAATAACCAACATAAAAAAAACTCACGAAACACTCAAAATAATGAAGCAACGGATTTATTTTAAAATCTGTTATTATCTCCTCGTTGCGAAGCTTTTACGTACCGACGCTAAATTAAAACATATTTCTATGCTCATTTCGTGAAATGTATATCATTTAAAATATCTTATGCACAAAGTTGGACATTTTTACATCTGGCAAGTTACACAGACCACTATATTGAGGGCATGATACAATATAAAACTATACGAAAAGACCTTATAATCAGCTTATGAAGTTTTAAGATTCTTACTTTTCTCTCCTTAACTTTATAAAACTTCTCTAAGAGATTTTAATAAATTAACAGCCACTCACCTGTAGGCCGGTGTAGCTAGCCACCAGTTTCAGATCCGTCAAAGGTCCTTTTTGCCTTCATATTTACAAAATATTAATTACGTACATTCTGAAAAAAATATAGAAGTTTGTAGAGTTAATATTAGAAATCTACACTAAGGGTCTTTGTTAGATCTCTCCGACTCTGTGAGTGGCAGTTAATTCTTTGAAATGCAATATGAGACACGTATATAAAGTGTTTAAAACAAAAGAAACATTTCAAAGGGGTGTATTTATAAGTGGGGAGTGCGCAGCGCGATCCTCACACGCCGGAGCCGTGTCGTCGACGTCGCGTCGAGCTCTCTCTACGCTACTCATACCTCTCCATCCCCCTGTGTCTCGACGTAAATAATTGCGGTCGTACGAAGCGCGAGCACTTCATCTTAACAATTACGTACGCTTTATTTTAAGCTACTTGACTTTTACTGTCTAACCTCGAGACCTTTTGTAATTACCGTAACATGAAAGAGAAACGATGTTATGTTGAATTCACTGAATTACCCTTATTAAAATGATAATTAAATTTTATTATAGCTTTAAAATAGGTTGAAGTTAGTAGTTATACAACGATCACGATCAGGGTCAAGGTTACTAGCGTCTCTTGTGGATCATGACGCCAGATCCGATATTTACCGTTTTAAAAAAACAAATCTCTTCTTTTCTTTTTATAAAAAATGCAAAACAAATAAGTATTTTTAACTCATAAAGAAAATACTATTACAACTTTCATTGTTGTATAAAAATTGATTTTAAAATAATGAGAAAGTCATAAAAATTTTGCGATCGTTTAACATTGAAGTATTCTTTCCCGTTCAGTAAGTGCACTAAAATGCAAACACAATATAGACAAAATAGTATTTTAATGGGTTTTTGAACATCTACATATTAAATTAAAGGCAAAGGGCAAGAATTACGTGCTAAACGAGGTAACATCGTGTTAAAGTTGTTCAAGCAGGGATTTAGATTTAAAAAATTAACGCGTAAGACAAATGAGGGTGAGCCAGGTGAGGTAGCGAGTAGCTACGCACCTTCAAGGTGTAACGAGTAGAACGCGGCTACGGCAACGCTGCCCTCTAACGGCCTTCAGCGCTTCAGTCTGTCCCCATCTGTCGTGGAGGGAGGTCGTCTTTTCCGCAAAGCTTACTCAACGTACATCAAAGTTCAACTTAAAATGAATAAATATCTGTATTCCCTAAAGATTATAAATAAATTCTTTTGTGAGTGACGATTTTATTTAAAAAAAAGTGAGAGAATTTTTTCTGTTTGATAAACTTTTATTTGCATTTTTAATAGTGATTGTTATGTGATGTGATTAATTTATAAAAATTCGTAAGTATTCAAACTTTACTTCATATTTTATGTTATCCAATTTCATTAATTTGTAATTATTTATTCAAGTTATTAAAGTAATTTATTTTATCGGTAAAGGACATAAGTTTGCGATTATAAATTTTACTTAATTTAAAAACTAACTAAAATAATTGATAATATATTTTAAACGAAAGTCGCTCAACGTCTAATTGCTAGCGACTAATTTGTCAATCAAACAGTGTTTCGATCATGGAACATTGGTCACAAAAAAAATGTTAAGGAGAACAAAATATGTACATCCACTTTTATACCGGTCCAGGACTTCTTAAGTATGTGCATATATTTTAGGTGACTTTGACGACACTTTCACGGAGAACGCGCTATAACGTTGGAACAATGCGTAAATAAAATATGACAGAAGTCCTTTTGTATTGCGGTGGAATAATAAATTGATAGCTAATTAATTGGAATCATTGCTAATTTATAAAATGAATGTAATAATAGACTTGATGTGTTTATTTGCTTTGTTTAATTGCTGTTTGTGCGTATCGCGACCGCATTTTTAACGGTACCTTTATGAACATATTTATAAAAATAAGCGATGTATCCCTTTGAAATAAAAATATACAATTTGTTTTAAACAAGTATTTCAGAAATTAAAACACATGGTAACATGTTTTTTAAAACAATTTTTCTTAAAATTACAGATAGAAGGCGCAATAATTAAAACAATTATATTTTAAAAATATACATTTTAAACAAAGTTAATATTCAACTTATGTATAGTAGCGTTGATTTCACGGTAATGATATTTTATGGCTTGCGGCCAAATAAACCGATATTGGTTTCTCCTTAATGAGGTTCAACTGATTTTCATAGTTCTATCAAAAATAATGAAATTAATATGTAAAATTTTAATTAACATATACCACCTTTTTACCTTTATAATTAACGACAAATTATATTCAGCTTCAATTTAGATTATGCAGAAAAGATATCTGCGAAGAAATTCAAAGATATGTGGGAAGTCAACCAACACGCACTGAGCCAGAGTGGTTGACTATGGCGTAGTCATCCCTATCTTATTGTAGGGACCCCTCAGCGGGGACGTATAGTGAACTGATGATGATAATGACTCAGAATTTTTTAGACGCTTTTTGAAGGTCGTCCAGCTTTAATTAAACTGACACTATACACTGACCAAATTATCCTGGTGGGCGCCCCTGGCAATAAAAATTGCATCGAAATTCTTTTCATTTTGCAGCTGTTTGTACGTTTTTCTTTTGTTTTTTATGCCTGTAGTCTAATATATTATCTGACAGAACCGACCGCGGTTACAGCACCTCAAGATAATACCAGATAAAATCGACGCACAAGTCCAATTGTTTTTATAATAATTAACATGTCAAATATCTAATTAATTCAGATACAGCAGATTAATTGTAATTCAATTAAATCATTTCAATTTAACTCATTATTGAATAAACTGTTGGAAAATAATAATTCACTGTCAATAAACTACGTAGTTCACACTCAAATTATACTATTAACAAAGTTTTTGAAACTGTAATTGGTCGATTTATTCAAGGTACAAAAAATAAGAGTTCATTCCAACTTACTTAAAAGTTATGACAACTTTTACACCTGCATTTTCATGATTAATTAAACGTAACCAGTAAAAGTTTTCTATAACCGTGACAGTTTACACTGCTGAAATATTGATATAAATTATATTGTTGTTTCTCGCTTTCTCTATGAAAGGAACTAAGATGACTATATGTTTATGACAGTGGAAACGCGTTGTTTTCAAATGGGGACATGTTTAAGAATACAGTTGTTTCTTTTATCTATGTGCCCAACACGAATGTTTGTGGCAATCACCAGCGTAAGACATATTTTTTTTTAATGTATTATGCATTAAATTGAATGTATACGTTTTGAGATATAGTAATTGCCTCCCTATGCGCTGGACTGATCAAATATGCATTGCGCTCGACACCACAATGCATAACACCATCCTCCATCCATTGCTGATAACCGCACAGAATTGAGATACATCTTACATCACATTGGTCAAGGAGAGAGGTCGTGACCTTCAACAACGAGGAACCAATGTACATATATAGAGATAATAAATTATTTTTCGTATATGAAAAACAATTAGTTTTTAATCTGTTCATAAAAAAACGTTAACAAAAGATTTATTCCATTGCTTTTTTATTTCAATTTGCTAGGTGATATTACTTTAAAGCTTTCTTCTAACAATACATGCTATCGTATGCACAATACTTCTACTCACTTTGTTCTTCTGAATTTTTTATCACCTGAGTCATGTGATATGGATGAGGAAAGTTACATATTTTTTATCATGTCGCCTAGGAAAGTATTACTTACTTTTCAAATAATTTAACACGTAAATAAGCATGTTGTCTTACTGGATCGATCGATTCGAGTATTTTTTTTCTTTTTCTCTTTTTGGTTGTGTCATAAGTGTTGTAATGTTTTTGAACGGATTTAATATCTTATTATTTTTCACATGACACTTTTGTTAATATTATATATATTATTGAATTTTTTTTAAAGTATCTGGGCGATGATGATGAGTGTCAATAAAAGTGGCACTGCCGTCGTAATCCACAGAAAAGGAGTGAGGTATTCACTTCTCAGGAATATAAGGGTTATTCATTATGTTTGTCGTAGTGATGGTGTTAGGGGATGAAGGGCGGGGGCGGGCGCTGCAGGCGGCGCTGGCGGCCTGCCTGCTGGTGGGCGCGCTCAGCCCTGAGCCCCTGGAGCCTTGCGCGCGCAGCCCACTCTGCTCGTGCCGCGCCGCGCACATGTCCTGCATCGCCGTCCCACTTCACAGGTTTCCAGGTAATTTTAAGTCCCGGTTAAGTGATCACCTTAATCAGAGGAGAGAGATCACTAAGTTGGCCTCATCCAGAGGAGTTCGATTTCATTTTTCATTGCTCCTTCTTGTTAAAATTCTTCTCTCGACAATTACGCATGTTCGTCGTTTTTAATCACTTAAATTTTATGTATGTAAATGAAATGTTTGTATATAAAAATTTACAATTCAACTATACAGAAGTATGCTAACGAAAGTTATTATTTGCGGACAAATATCAACCATAACACGCCTACGCATTGCTTAAAAGAGATATCATGACGCTATCCCATGGATTTTCACAACCTTGATATTGTTTGACAAAATAGTCCTCTATGTAGTGGGAGGTCTGCCTACACCACGGCAACCTGTACGTGGAATACTATTTATATTGCAACATAATAGTGGTTGTTTCAAAAACAAGCCACAAGTTTCTAAAATAATAATGTAACAATAACTATATTGACGAAGAGTCACTTGAAGATGTTACTATTTATGTTACAATGTTAATGCATCCCGATAGTCGTTCTATATCTTAGATGTTATTTAAAATGTTAAATATTTACGCTTTATTATAAAAACATGTTAACTTTTCCATGTTTCCAGAATGGCCCCGAATAGAGCTGCAACACCTGGACATAAGCATGTCAAATTTAGAAATAATTGCAGAAAGCGCCTTAGATGGTTTACATTTACAGACATTAGTACTTGTAGCAAACCGATTGCATCATATTGAATCTCATGCCTTTAGGTAATGTAACATAAAATTAATATGTTATCATTTAACATAGGCTATATATAAATATATAATGTATTGTTTTAGTTCGATGGCTAATTCACTTGCATCACTTGATCTCGGATACAACGATTTCACAGAGGTACCTCATCAAGGTCTAAAAGACTTAAAAGTTTTAAACTGGTTAAATTTGCAAAAGTAAGTAATTGGTGTAAGTAAACAGTATATCGTATTATAATTCTGAATTTAATACATTGATGATTTTGTTTCAGCAATAATATAGCACACATCGGATCTGATTTAAAATGGTATCATTTAGAGGATACACTAACAAGCCTCTCGTTAAGCAACAATCAAATTACAGAATTAAATGAAAAATCAATCACAAGTCTCAATCACTTGCTACAATTAGATTTGGAAGGAAACTTTTTAAGAACGATCGATTCAAACTCACTTCCATCTTCGTTAACTGTCCTAAAGCTGTCGAATAACTTTTTAAAAAGCCTTCCCTGTGATTTAATACATAATGTTCCTAGATTACAATCATTACACATGCGGCATAATATGATTAATTTTAAAATAAACTCGAGTTGTATTAATAATAAAACTAAAAAAATTGAAAAGGTAGATTTAAGTAATAATAAGATAAGCGATAACACTGATTTCCTTTTCCTCAAGGAATTTCAAATTAGGCAAATTATTCTCGATCTAAACGAATTAACTCTCGTACCAAAATTATTAGTTACGAATAATCGTATTGAGCGATTATCAATATCTTACAATAATCTTCGTGCTATTTATCATGATATATTTTTAGGTCTGAAAAATTCTTTAGAACATTTAGAAGTGGAACACAATAAATTGTCTTACTTACCGGACAGTTTGGCGCAGGTCGTACGACTTCGACATTTATCTTTAGCATATAATCAATTTGAGGTGTCCCCCTTACTCCCGAGCCGTATACAAACACTTTCCTTCGCCGGAAACTTTTTAACTACAATACCATCTACGCTTCATAACATCGAGGCAGGTTCGATTCGTTATTTAGATTTAAGCTACAACCGCATATCTTCTTTAAATACTAACGAATTTCGAGAATGGTCCACATCTTTATCAACTATTATTTTAAAAGGTAATAGAATTGCTCAAATCTCTAACAACGTCTTCCCGGCGCAGATGCCAGTGAAAGAGATTAATCTCAGTTTCAACGACTTATACTACATACATCCTGAGTGCTTCTCTAATTTAACAGGTTCCTTGAATATCCTCGAATCCTCCTCGACCCTCTTTAGTGGACATTTTCCTTTTGACTTTGATGAAGGTTTAGAAAAACTTAGTTGGTTATCGTTTGATAATAATGATTTTTATATTGTAAAATTACTCGATATGGTCGCGTTACCTGAATTAAAATATTTAAATTTAGATAATAATAGATTAATAGATATAATTTTAGACGATTCTTATAATATTTCGCTGGCTATAGCTAATCTTAGATTGTCATACAACTTTTTGAGTTACGTACATAATTCGACGTTTAACTTTATGCCGGATTTGAGGAATTTAGATTTATCTTATAACCGAATTAACAACTTAACTAAAAACTCTTTTTATAACTTAAGCAATTTGAGATATTTATCTCTTGCTAATAATATAATTAGTAGCGTAGAGGAGCACACTTTTGTTAACTTGCCTAAATTGGAAGTGTTAGAATTACAAAGTAACAATTTCACGTATTTCTCGCTAAGCTCGTTAAAGAATGTTTCAGATGTACATATAACTTTTACATTAAATATTAGCCATAATCAAATTAAAACTTTAAAAGGTTATTCATTTACTCCTATTAGTATTTTAGACGGCTCTTACAACGGCCTAACTGAGGTGCCAAATAACTTTTTTTCTTCCACGGAATCTTCCATTAGACAAATAATTTTATCGCATAATAAAATTACACATATTCCGAACGATGTTTTTGGAGAGTCCTTGTTTTTGGAAATATTAGATGTACATAAAAATAAGATAAATGTCATCAAACGTAAAGCTTTCACTCGGCTCAAGTCTTTACAAATTTTAGATTTTTCTTTTAACGGCGTCACCCAACTATCGGTGGAACAGTTTTGTAATTTAAGTAAATTGAAATATTTAAAAATGGACCACAATAATTTAAGATTGCTACCTAGGGACGTGTTTAAAAACACGAGAATAGAACATTTGGATATTAGTTATAATGAAATTTCACTGTTTCCTGTAACGGCTTTGTCGCAAGTTGGTTTCACTCTGCGATATCTTGATTTATCGCATAATCGAATAGAATACCTTGATAATAACATATTCCGAAATACTCAGTTTCTGTTGAGCCTCAATTTACGGAATAATTTATTGACTGTATTATCCGATAATACATTTTCTAGCCTGGGTGGCTTGCGTCGGTTAGACCTTGGTGGTAACGTAATAAAGGCTAATTTCAAAGAGCTGTTCCACAATCTTCCAAACTTAAGATATTTAAATCTCGCCAACGTAAGTTTAAAGTCTGTGCCTTATCTTCCGCTGGCAAACTTGACTACTCTTAATCTAACATCAAATTATATTTCCAGTTTCAAAGAGACTGATGTAAAACGCCTTGTGAGCCTTCGACACTTGGACGTTAGTCACAATCGTCTTAATTTTCTTGTGCCAAATATGTGGTATCATTTAAAGAATTTAAATGTACTAGATATATCTTACAATCCTATTGAGAAAATTACTATAAATAGTTTTAAGTGGTTAAGTAACTTATCGTACTTAAATATAATTGGGCTCAATAACTTAGATGTAATCGATGTAGAATCCTTCCGTCCTTTGATATCTCTACGATCTATACAACTTGAGACCTTGTCGCCAATTAACCTTTCCAACTTTTACATATCTAACTTAACAAATTCATTACCATCATTAACTAAGTTAATTATTCACTGGACTGATGAAAATATGGATAAACAATTACATGGAATCGACGCACGTAATATACGATACATAGAAATAAAAGGAGAACGCTTAAAAAATATATCTGACGACGCGTTTCAATCCTTTGCATCGAATCATGAAATCTTTATTAAGATAACTGAAACGTCGATAACAACATTACCAAATAAATTCATGAAACATCTTGGCCTCGTTCCACAACTGGGGATTGACCTCAGTTATAATAAAATTGAAAATCTTAATCCGGCCATATTCTATCCGAACTTCACGAGTTGGAGTCACGTCGCTACCAAACTATTATCAGGTATGATTCAAACGTTTTACAAAGTAGCATAGCATTGTAGTTAGTCTTTTAGTTTTCTTATTATGTATTTCAATAATCTATATGTTTATTTATTTATTTATTTACATGGTAGACTTACAGCTAGAAAGTAACAATAATAGACACAAGATAGTTAACATATAGCTATTTACAAGTCTACACTTATAGCAATAGCTTAAATAATTTGTCAGTCAGCACATGAGATATAAATACTTGACTTTTTTTATATAAAAATATATATTCAACCACCGCTCAAAATATTGTTGTCTATATTAAAGAAATAAAACCATTTTTGTATAATAATAAAATGCAGTTTTACAATTTATGTTTAGATTGTTAGTTAATATTAATTTGAATGGAATTTTTGCTCCCAACAATACATTCAACGATATATAAAAAATGAATGACCATTTTTATTGCCAATTGTATAAACCTAGTCTACGGGACTATCTATGCAGAGATAAAGTACACTTGATTAAAATGAAATTGTTTTAAACGAATTTTCAAGAATAGGCAAATCATCATACATAAAACAATCCGTGAGCCTATGTCGTATTCTTCCATGTACCAAAATATACTAATTAACGCAACTAATTATCAAAATGTTATATCATCAGGTGGTCTGATCCTGACGGGCAATCCATTACGCTGCGAATGCGAACTGAACTGGCTGGGAGCTTGGCTACGGCGATGGTTTCAAGAGAACGAGGCCGGAACAGAACTACGTAGAGCTGTTAGAGATGCATTCTGTATCGACAAAAACAACCGTAGAGTACCTCTAGTACAGCTGAGAGCAGATGAGGCCGAATGCCACGCTAGCGCCCTCTCCAGTGATGCCCAACCAAACTACACTAATATCTTATACATGGTTATAATAACCCTTTGTACACTCGCATTAAGATGATAAATAATAAGGAATTAATTAGCCTAATATTGTACATATTGTCTTATTGTATTTTACATGCTAAGTTTTGTTACCGAGATTGTTTAACGCTTCAACATTTGGGAATATTTGTGAAACAAATATAAACGTAGCTTATGTTATCATTCAGTTAATGAAACAACATTGAATTTAAATTGAAAATTTAAATCATTGGAATCATATCAGAGATTTCCAGTTCGTAAATTAACAATTAAACAATTTTGAATTGTACTGTTTTTGACACCACACTTTTGGAAGTAGTGAGCATTTTAAATATGTTTGTAGTAAAATGTATAATCAATAAAATAAGACCGATGTAAATATGTAAAAATAAATATTTTTATGAGTCACCGGTTTTTATTTTTTGTTCCTCTTTTAATATAGATTCTCTTGAAATAACCGTACAAAAACTTAGTGAACTATTTGAATTAACCAATGCAAACGTAAAATAAATCTTCTTGCACATATAAGATAACTTATGAATCAGAGACACTGAATTTTTTTTAGAATTTGGCATCTAATTTTTCTTATGCTATTATACATAATATTGTCATATTGAAGATTCCAATCTTACTAATATTATAAATGCGAATATTCAGATGGATGGATGTCCGTTTGAAGGTATCGCCAAAACGGCTGAACAGATCTTGATGAAATTTGTCAAGGATGTAGAACATATTATAGTACGCAATAACACATAGGTTACTAAGTAAGTTTTTTTTTTAATCCGGGCGGACAGAGTCGCGTGTGATAGCCAGTACTAGATAATGCAATCAAATTAATTATAGAAGCTTAATCATATTGCATTGCAATCTAATTGGGATAATTTCTATGTAGAGACTAACAACTCCCATAGGACAAAATTCGAATGTCACGTCTCAATTACATCCCAACGCCGCAATCGGATTAATCCTCACATGAAAATGCAATAGAGCGTTTACACAAAAATGGAAATAATGGTTGCTTTGATTGCGAATTAAATGTAGAGCAGATCTTAAATTAATGATCTAATTTTAACGAGAGAAAAATACTCGTAAGAGATTTTCTTGATGTCAAATGACCACTTAAACTTTATACACTAAACATACAAAAAATGAGAACTAAATTTATAAAATCCTTCCTTATTTCATTTTAATAATATTATTTAAAAAATATTTTACTATTTATAAAAATAAGCTACAAGTACTGACAATGTGCTCTAATGTGAAAAGCTGCGATATGAATAAACTTAGTCAAGAACCTCTGCACTCGAGTCTTAAAGTACGAACCAAGTTTAATATCTAACGAAGATTTCTTATAAAGTTTTTTCTAAGGATTTACAGTGTTACTTGAGACTAGTAATAAAGTTAACTTATTATAATTAAATATAGAATAAGCACATACTTAACCGTACATGACAAAATTATTAAACAAAAAATAAAAAATCCTGATTATTAGAGGGCAATAGCATCTCAACGAAATTATCTATATCTTCAACATTTTCCAAACAAAATATTTGCTGCGAACATTTAAATTCTTATATATGAAATTCTCTTATCGCAATGTTAGTCAACATACTCCTCCGAAACGACTTGACCGATTTTAATGAAGTTTATATGCGTATTCAGGAAATTCAGGAATAGACTTCTATTTATTTCTTAATTTTTTTTATTTCATAAGGTGGCAAACGAGCGAGCGGCCACCTGAAATCGCTGATATAGCGAAGTGACCGTTGCCCATAGGCATACACTGCATATGCGTTGCCTACCTTTAATCGACGGAGGAGAGGATGCACAGAAAGAAAATATATTCCCTTTCCATGCATCCTCTCATCCGGAAAGTCCACTTCCACTTCACATACTTTCCTTATAAGAAAAAAGGATGGGAAGGGAAAGAGGTCTAAATTAGGCCTCCGGGACGCACACTCATCAGACGAAACGCGGAATTGCTTCCACTTGACGCCTGTCTTCTGTGTGGTCATGGTATGTCACCGGGCGAGCCGGGCCAATTCGTGCGAAAATGTTAAAGCGGGCTCTACCACTGTTAAAACCGCGCGGACGAATTCACGAACGACAGTTAGCACACATAGTAATGTACACAACAGTAACAAATGTGATTAAGTTTTTAAAGTAAATGAAAGAATAGTAAAAAAATACAAAACAATCTAAAGATAGATTAGAAGCCAGAAAATGACTAATTCGATTTGCGCTTATGTGGTTACAGTTATGAGTATTCCTTATAATTTCATATTGTACGAAGGCTACCTACATTTGACATAAGCCCGAAGCCCGTTCGTTGTCGACCTGAAATATGATAAAGTCCCCACGGAGAAGCCAGACGGCAACAATTCCAATTCAATCGGCATACACGTAGCGTACGTACAACTCCTTAAGGTATTATCCTTAATCGAGTATTTGTTAGTAATGTACTATTGCTTTTATAAAAAAAGTTGATTGAGATTTTTTGCAACTGTTTTTTTTCTCAAATTCTTAGTTATTTTTGTTATTTGGTAAAACTAAAGGCTTCTTTTAAATTACTTTGTAGTAGACTTCGTTTATGGAAGATAACATATACATTCCACAATGCCGAGAATGCAGCTAAAGAATTTACATAAACATGAAGTTCAAAACACCTTCCCACTATCTACAGTGACTACATGCATAAATAAGATACAGTTTAATTCTTAATTAAATGAAATTATCACAATATTATTTACGACATTTGAGATTTGGTAATGTTTATGATAATTGTGAGTTTTGATTTGATATGGACTTAAATTTACGTCACCAAATTTAACGAAATACATTTATAAAAGGAATCGATAATCTGTGTTTTAATACGAAATAATCTATAGTTAGTAAAAGTTAAATGCTCAAATTGTAAACTTGTATATAAACACTATAAAAAAATTAAACTTCCAATATCGGATAAAGGCATACGGGCAACGTCAGTGGAATAGAAGACAAAAAGATTCATTGAAAAAAAAAATAGTTTGTTAAACCAACTGAAAAAGAGGACACCACATGTGCCGGAGGTAAAAGCGAAACGCCTTTGTCTCTCTAGAATGTGTTAGTGAAAATCAATTTAGAGCTTTTGTATCGCCAGTGAAAGAATTTTGTGTCTCTTTTTTTCTATTCTAACTAAGCGATGAAATTACATGAATTTTGATGTTAGTACGCATACTTTCCTGTCTGATGTCTGTATCTCTTACCACGGATTTTTACTACCAAAAGATTCATGTTAGTATTTTCTTAGTATTTTCTTTTTCTTTTAAGATAACATTTTCAAACAATGTTTTAGAAACGTAAAACTACAGTAAGATTGTTAACATTTGAGTGTCCGTATGTAACATCAAGAAAAAAATCATATTTCGAACACGTGATGTACTGCGTTGCGGGTATCGATAAACCAATTTTGGTTTTTTGTCTGTCTGTATGTTTGTCCGCATTGCCATGATTTTGACGGGACTTAGACGGGAAGCTAGCTGATGAACGCCGGCATATTATAGGCTACTTTAAGGCTAATATAAGTCGCGGGCGACCGCTAGTATATTAAGAAAATAAATTTAATTTACTTTAGTCTTTTGATCTTCAGCCCACACTGACCTTCAATTTTTTTAACATTGAAATTTTGTTCTTCATCAAAGTAGATAGTTTGTATTTGTAAAGGTCGGAGGATTTTACTTGAAACTTAATATTATAGAATTTGTTTCATATTTCACTCGGCATAAGATCCAACATGACCTTTTCGTGATGGATGGATCTTAGAAAATTATTATTGTAGCTAAGTTTTATTATTTATCTTTTCGGCTGCATAAATTATTTGCGGTTGTTATTTAAAAAGTATACTATAAAGTTTAATCTTACTTAGATTTCAAATATAATAATATAATCAAAATGTTCTATGGATTCTAAATATTCTCTATATAGACTAGTAAAAGATAAATTTATTTCGCACGACTGTAACATATTGAAAATATTTTTTCTTTAACAAAAAGTGGCAATGGAAAAACTTGATTTTGGTTATAACGAAGGAATAATAATAAAATATTATGAAAAAAATATTTTTACATACCAAATTACCGTCCTTGAAAATGGAGTCGAGTCGAAACAAAGCTATGAAGAAGCGCTACGGCTAGCGCTTCTGAACATAATGCTGTCTTTGTTTTTCAAAGAGAATGACAGAGATGACAAAATGTTTTTACACAAGGGTTACGTCAGTGAAAACCCACAGTTAAATGTAAGCACTGAACACGAAACAGACAAATTGTGTCAAGAATGTTTGACCTCCTTTATACGACTGCTAGTAACTTGGCCTAAAATTTTCATTGAGAAAAAGCTGTAGTAATTTTTTTTTTTTATAACAGAAGGGGGCAAACGAGCAGCGGGAACACCGAAGTGTTCAACGACGCCCATGGACATCAGCAATACCAGAGGAACCGCAGATGCGTTGCCGGCCTTTGAGGTGGTGATAAGCTAGATTCTTGGAGGACCCTAAGTCGTATTGGTTTGGAAATGTGGTATTACACCACACTTACAAATTACTTCCTTTTGTACTAAAGAATTTCAAAACTACAGAAACGCTATTATTATGAATTAAGTTTCGCAACATGTAAAATACCAAGACCTGGATTCGGCAGAATATTTGCCGCAAAAAAAAACTAAATTACGATTTATCCATAAAATTATCTTTTTATCCTAACACTTTAAGGAAACAATTAGTTGTTAAACATCATTTTAGATAGAAATTTTTTCGCGTTATAATTCAACTTGCTTATCCAATCAACAATCATTTAACAAACTAAATTATTTCCGTTTGAAAATTATTTCAAATGTGTGTTGTGTTAACGCGACTAGCTAGAAACCACCACAGTTCGATTTTGCCTTAGCTATTAAAAATCGGTCTGAAAAATAAACGATTAACTTCTTTCTAGTCTTTCCTTCTCTTCTCGTTTAAAATCAACATCCGCTTAACGTACTAAATGTGAAATAACATTTTTAGCTTCAGTCAAACGTAAACACACGCTTTGAAGTAGACATAACTTAATTCACTAACGAGTCAGTTCTCGGTTGAGGGCGCATTGCAACTCCGCGCATGCTC